TATCGTGGTTAGTATTTTACTTTTCATGATGTACCTCACCTGCTTCCACTGACTGCACATCATTGGAAATTGTGCATGACTGTTCTGACTTCGACGCAGGGGTGTTTTGGGGTTTTGTTTTTGTTTTTTTGTCTGTTTACAGGATGGAAAATAATTCAGTTAAATCACATTCCAAGTGCAGTTTTGCTGCAGTTAGACTGCAGAGTTACATTTGTTTCCACTATTTTTTTTCCTCTATAAAAGCGCATGCAGGATTTTCTTTCTTTTGTAAATGTTTTACATTAAACTGTTTTTGTTTTTTTCAGCTGAAAACGTAGCATCAGATTCTTGAGTTTACAAAAGATATTTTCACAGACTATTTTTGTTGTGACTCTTTTTCTGGTGACTCATCTTGTGAAATGTGCTGTTTCACCTCAGGCTGATCCAGACCTGCAGCTTAGTTCTGGGTCCGTCACAGTCAAACACTGACTTTGAGTTATGTTTATAAGTAATAATAGTGGGATGGACTTGATGTTGTTTGGTCTAAAAGATAACATTGATCCTTGTTTTGTTGTCCATGGTCCATTTTAAAGGATGGTCCTGTTGGGACCTGGTCCTGACTTGTTTCAGTTCACATAAACGACAACATTTTACATTTTCACTTGTTTTTATTGATTTTATGTCATATTTATTTTCTTCAGTTTTTCATTGTTCTTTTTCTCCATCCTTCATCTTTTTGTTTTTTTGTTTGTTTTTTGTTGTTCTCATAGGTTCTCCCATGCTCCCCCCTTCCTTTCCATCATCTGTCATTGACCAATCACATCCTCAGAAAGTCATAGCCCGGGACACGGTGTTGTTAGACACACACCTGGTCCACTCCCAGGAGGAGGAAGAAGAGGAGGAAGGAGAGGAGGAGGACAGAGAGGAGGGGGAGGAAGAAGGAGAGGAGAATGGAGGGGAGGAGAATGCAGCGCATTTGTACTCAACATTAACACTTGGTAACAAAAAAACCCAAGAATACCTAAAAGGTAGCTAAAAATACCTCATAGTTAGTCAAGGACACAGTGGAAAAGCCTAATAGAATATATTTTTTAATAGAACAGAAAACATTTGATCGATAAAAGTGTTCACATTTCAAAACTTAAAAGTTGCCTTTAAATAAAAAAATAAAATAAAAACGTTCCTGCAGCAGAACAGGATAAAATGTGCCTGGAACTGAACCCAGAGTCAGATCTGGTTCTGTTTATGGTCCAAACTTTAGATTGCGGTCATTTTGGGTCAGAGTCCAGGATCATGTGACTTGATGGAATTGTGTTTTATCAGAATTCCATATCCGGCCACAGTACCCGTCACGGCTGCTAACGGTTAGTTGTAAGAGAGAGTTGAGGATGAAAGCTGAGCTCCTGAAAAGCCTGGAGCTTCTCTTAGATCTGGTCTGGATCAGAGTCCTGGTCCCAGAGAGGATCCTTCAGCAGGTCCAGATGGTGCACTGGTCTATTTGGATCATGGGTTCCTGGTCCTGGCTTTGGGTGCAGGTCTAGTTTTAGACTAGGGCAGATTCTGAAGCAAGAGAGGGAGGGAGAAAAGGGGAGAAATAAAGGTTGGACTGAGCTGAAGAGGAGGAGGGGGAGTCTTTCTCCTTTTCTTCCTCCTCCTCCTTTGTCTTTTGCTCCTACGCCCTCCTTCACCTCCCTCTAATTCTACTCCATTTATGTTTCCTTTTTCTTCTTTTTCTTTATGCTTTTACTTCATCTGAACCTTGTTCCCTATTTCCTCATGTCTTACTGCTTCTTTTTGTTGTCCTCCATTTTCTTCGCACTCTCCTTCTCCACCTCCTGGTGCTCCTTGTTTTCTTAACTTTCCCATTTTCCTCTCCACTGTTTTCTTTCTCCTCTCTGTATATTTTCTCCTCTGTATTCTCTTTGTTTTTCTTTCCGTCTTCTCCTTCTTGTTCTCCCTTTTCCCCGTGCGCCAACTGTTCTTTGCCTCTTTCTCTTTTTCGTTTTTTCATCTTAATAGTTCTCCACTTTTTCTTCTCCCCGTTTCTCATTCCTTCCTCCTCTTTCCAGCTTTTCCTTATCCTGTGTTTGTTTTTCTTTTCTTTCTGAGCAGTGGAGCAAGGCAAACATCAGACCGTCAGCGGTCACATGGCCAGAAAACGGGGCTCAAATTGCTTTGATTCAAACTCCTCACAGGTGTAGGACCTCAGCACAATGAGGAGAGAGGCTTATTTTATCAATAAACCACGCTCTCAAAACCAAACCAAACCTCACAGAGGAAAAGCATTGATTTTAGCTCACCGAGACACAGACTTACCACAGTGACACAAACTGACCACAGGAAGCAGTGGTGCACAAGCAGCTTCTGTGGCTCTTTGAGCTAAAATTACTGCCTTTCTTTGACAACTTTGCACTGTGGGGTGAAATCACTAAATTTCTCTGTGGGAAATTTCTCTCATAGCTAAAGTAAGTGGTTTTGTCTGCGAGCTAAAATCTGTGATTTTCTGTATGAGGTTTGGTCCATGAGCTAAAATCAGTGATTTCCTGTATGAGGTTTGGCCTATGAGCTAAAATCAGTGATTTCCTGTATGAGGTTTGGTCCATGAGCTAAAATCAGTGATTTCAGTGAGGTTTGTTGTGGGTCTTTTCAGTGTGTGGCGATTATGAGGCTGAGATGGTGAGTTTCAGCTCCTCAGAGAACAGGTGAAAACTTGTGGTGATGACAGCTGCAGCTGAAGCTGAATCTGTCGAGGTGTTAAAGCACAGATAAAAATAGAAGAAGTGTGACATCACTGCAGCTAAACATGAAGGAGAACAATTCACAACATTTATTTACACCGGCAGCGCGTGAACACTCGTGCACTGTCTGTGTTTTCACTCTGACATGGCATGTGAGTGTTCACACTCCACACTTTTGCACTTTGTGCAACCACAAAGTTTATGATTGCAGTGTAAAGACGCTGAGTCAAGAGAAAATGCAGACACTTTTCCACCAATCAGAAAGCTGTGTGCTGTTAATCTCCACCTTAAATGTTTCCTGGCTTCGCTAATAGTTAGGGATGTAACTATGCATTTTGAATCAATTAAAATTTAGACATGTACCTTTTTGTTTTTATATTCTGGTATTTAAAATAACAACTTCAGTTTATATGGTGCACAAGAACATTTCAGTTGGTAATGGTATTTTGCATAGTTCTTACAAATAATGGATCATTCCGGAGATTTTAGACATTTTGTTTGAAAACAAAAGTGATAAAATCATATTGTGAGTTAAGTGTATCATTACATCCCTACTGCTAGTCTTAATTCATGGCAACATTGAACACAAACATACAACTATACAGACATGGGAAAAGTACTGGAAAAATGTAATTAAGTAAAAGTATCTTTACTCTGCTTGCATTCTACTCAAGTACAAGTAAAAGTACCCACCTAGCAACCTGAGTAAAAGTAAAAAAGTATTTGATTTAAAATGTACTTTGTCCTTTTTAGCATGAAGTAATTTAAAGTAACTAAGTAATAGTTACTTTAAATTACTTCATTCCAAAAAGGACGGCATAAGTTGAGGATTCCCTGATCCATTTGAACACTAAAGAACACTTAAGTTTAGACAGTGACAGCTCTGACCACCGGGGGCAGGCACATTTAGCATCGCATGATAAAGTTATTGCCTTGTTTAAATTTGAAAACCAAGAGCTGGCTGAGATATGGCCAAGGATTTCCTCTCTGCTTGGCCAGTCCTCAACCTCCATTTTCTGTTCAACACCAGCCATCATCCAATGACAGGCTAGAGTCTGTTTCTTAGTCAACATTATCTGGCTACATTAAAATGGGAGGAAATCCCTGCGCACGGCCACGCAATTTTCTGTCATTCTGTCATTGTTTTTCCCTGCATTAAATTATTTACTCAGTGGTGGGTTCTTTTCCAATGTAACAAAGTAAAATACTTGAGTCAAAATGTGCTTAAATAAAAGTAAAATTGCCTATTCACGAAACTACTTAAAAAATTATAAATTACTCACAAAAGACTACTTAAACAATTATAAATTACTCACAAAAGATATACTGAATTACCGTGACTTGAGTAAATGTAATTTGTTACTTACAACATGCTAAAAAAAATTATATTTAACATTAGCATTTTATTGCTACGTTACTTACAACATGCTAAAAAATATATATATATATTTAACATTAGCATTTTATTGCTAACTCTTAGGCGTGTCTGATTAACATTTGGTTTTGCTTTTTACGAAGCTTACGTTTTTTTTTATGCAATAACAAAATTGACATTTTGAAGAAACTGAGAGAAGCTGTAGTCTGATCTATGGAAGCCTGGCTGGACATTTCACACGCAGACTTGTCAGAGAGTTTCCTTTTTTCTCCTGGTTTTAGGGCCATTGGTTTGTTTTGGCTCCTGTCTGACATTTTCTGAGCTCACTATTAAACACATGTGTTTCTTCATGGTCCCAGTCTGTGGTTTTAATAAAACCCTGATCCAAAAACCAGGACTGAAGCCAAGACTATCAACAGAGCGCGAGAGAGAGAGAGAGAGAGCAGAGCATGGTGGGAAACAGACACACAGCAGCGCCGGGTGGATGAAACCTATCAGAAAGAGAAAGACTTTAAAATAATAAACACAGTGGGTCTGGTAAATATATCATAAATTAAAGAGAGGAGACGAAGTGATGAGGTTTTTTTATCAAGTCAAAACTTTTGATTGTCACGCGAAAAATGTCCTACGATATGTTTTTACCACTTAGTTTGATAAAAATTACATATTTTGTCTGTCAATCCTGCTTAGTTACTTCTTAGTTTATTCCTCCTGTGATCGACACAGTTAATATTCTGGTACTGTCTCTAGAACTCTCAGTACTGTCTCTGGTTGTTGGTACCGTTACTGTTGTCTGAGCTAGTTTGAATACAAAGTTTGTTTAGTTGATATAAAAACATCACTGATAGCATCTTGAAAGAAGAAAATAGTTTTTGATCCTTCTGACTCCGCCTCTTTTATGTTGACAGAGCAACAGTCCAATCACCACGCCTCCACGCTGCCTCCACTCCCGCCTCCACACCTCCAGCCGCCATCGGTCACAGCACTCAACCAATCGCTGGGCTCCACACTCCACGCCGGCCAGTCTCTCCACTCCACTCGGACACTAACTCCTCCCACTGGAAACCCGGCACTTGTGGCCGGCCAATCACCAGGCGAGCTGCAGACTACGCCCCCTGAGAGCGTCCCGCTGCAAGACAGCTGGGTGCTGGGCAGCAATGTGCCTCTGGAAACAAGGTAATAGCCCTTTAAATTTCACCTGACCATCTTCACGAACATCAGTCCCCAGGGTGGGAGCTGCCATCAACTCAGCAGCGACACCAACGACATTTTTAGAAACTCCCTCTAAAGAATCCTCACTTTGCGTTAACCGATTGGCTAATTGTCAGCTCGCAGACCAAAGTCCTTAGAGAAAATCAGTGATTGGAGCTCGCACACTATTGTCCATAGAGAAGGTCAGTAATTTTAGCTCACAGACCAAAGTCCACAGAGAAAATCACCTATTTAAGCTCACGGACTCAAGTCCATAGAGAAAATCCCGTTTTTTTTCTTCAGCTCAATGCGACACAGATGGCAGATGGACATTTTACCACACTCTTCATCTTCTCATAAAAGATAAACTCAGTGCGGAAGATTGTTCTCTGTGCGTGTGGCTGTGTGTGTGTGTGTGTGTGACTGTGTGTGTTGATAGTATCACAGTTTCTCTTTGCAGACAAAACATTGAGCAGCTGCCACATTCCTCTGCTGTCTCACTTTTTCCTTCTGCCTGTTTAAATTTGCATGTTTTATTTGTGCAAGTGACCAAACAAAAAAGTTCACAGTGTGTCTGTGGTAACTTTAAGCTTCACCTTTGACCTACTTAAATTTCCCTTTTTTTAACACAATACAGTTCATAGGTCCTACTTAGCTGCGATACACTGTTGACATATTTTATTACATATAATTAGTGCTGTATTCTAGTGTAGTTAGCATCGGCCGATTACATATTTTTTTCTTCTTGGTGTTTAGAATAAGTTTCCTGAAAATATTTTTTGCTCGCAAAAGCTCACATAGTTATTTCTTTACAACCATTTATTTTATTTATTTTTACTACATCTTCTCCAGCATATTCACTAAATATAGAAGCAATTGATGATAATTGACTATTAAGTTATTCTAGAATTTTTTTTTTAAATTGGCCTCAAGATAATTTAAACCATCTCCAGAGCATTTAAATATACATTTTTACATTTCAGCCAGTGTGAACCTTTGAGGAGAGACTGGACCTGGAACAGCATTTCAATCCTGTTTTTATTCTGACAGATATAAAACCTAAAAAGCTGCTGCAACATAAAGAAGGTGTGATTATAAGACTGTCAGAGTGAGTGTAATTAACCACAGAAGGCTAACGAGCTTTCTCTAATTACACTCTGTTAGCTGACGCTGTGATTAACAATTAGACACAATTATAAGCAGCAGGAGCACCGCAATTAATACCTGCCTGAGGCTAAAAGAGGAAAAAGAGGGAAAAAAAACTTCAGAAGATGAAGTGAGGGGGGGGGTTGCCCAAACACTCTGACCACATCACACACGCACTTCTGGTTATATATTTTCAACTGCCACAAGAGGGAGCTGCGTCTCGCACTCCTTACAACTGATCCAGGTCCGATTGGTCAAGTCGTGGAGAAACAAACAAAAGAAATTAACTGAGAGGATTGTTGTTACAACAAACACGAGTGAGAGGGTAGTCAACAGTCAACAAACTCAGTAAACAGCCGTACGGCTCACCACAACAGCGACACCTACCACAAACTGTTTTATTACATGAGATTCAGCTGTGCTGCAACAGCTGCGCTGTGACAAAGACGTTTGTCTTATCACTGTGGACTCGTCAGTCAGACTGGGCCGAGACAGCAGTGGGGCTCAGTGTCCTCTGCCCTGTCCTCAAACCAGTGGTCAGATGTCTCCAGTTTCATTGAGATGTCCTTGGCTGAAGTTGCTGGTCAGATGTTCTTCTCATACCTTCCTGTAGAAACAGGCACAATATTGTTTTTTTAAATAAATCATCTTTCACATTTCTGGCACACTTTTCATCATGCCGAAATATAATTTGATGTATTGTTCTTGTATTTTCCTAGTATTGTTAGGTTTGATCTACTTTCTGCTACCGTTTAGCTCTTAGTAGTGTTGATGTCTGAAGGTGTCCGACCAGTTAAATATCACTCGCGCTTCTGGATTGGAGGGATGTTTTTAAAGCACCACCTCATTCGTAGAAATTAAAGGGCAGCTTAAAACGTTTCAAGGTCAGGTTGCCTGGAGCCTCTGCTAACATCTGACTTTGCTGGTGTTAACTGAGACCTGATTTAACGTCTTTGTCCGTGACTTTTAAAGCACTTTGTCATTTGCTAGCTCCAAGCTACAATTTAATTTGCTCCTCTCTGATGAGCCCGTACTCAGACCCGGGTCTCAGATCCTCGGACAGGACGCTGCCGTTGGTCCCTGAGCGCCCCCTCAGAGCTTAAGGTGACCAGGTTTTTACAATGACTCTACAGCGGTGACAGTGGAGGGTGAAGAAGAGAGGGGAAAAAAACAGGGACGGAGAAAAATAAAAATCTGCTTCTGCCACAAAGACACAAAAAGATTGAAGGTCCATCAGAGTTGATGCTGCAGTTAAAACATTTTTTTAAATGCCTGAACTGAGCTTGAGCTGATCAGTTGCGCTGATCCCGGTTCCAGGCTGAGGTTTGTGAACGTTAGGCTTTGACGTCTTTCTGCTTCTCTCTATCTCCCCCTGCAGGCACTTCCTCTTTAAGACAGGAACAGGCACCACTCCCCTCTTCTCCACGGCCACGCCCGGCTATACCATGGCCACAGGATCCGTCTACTCCCCTCCGACCCGCCCTTTACCCAGAACCACACTGTCCCGCTCCGCCTTCAAGTTCAAAAAGACATCCAAGTTCTGCTCCTGGAGGTCGGTCCACAGAGCTTTCATCTCTGTTAAAATTTCACTTTTGTTTTTTTTTTCTTTCTACTTATCTTGTTTGACTTTAATTCTTATACTGCAGACACACACAAAAGACCTACAGTCCCAGCCCAAAACACATTCTAAACTGAACTACACCTTGAACAGAACTAAGAAAAAACAGTGAAATAAATTAAAGTAAAAATAAATACCACAGATCAGAACTGACACCTGAAATCGAACCCTTGATTTTACAAGACCAGATGTTTTCGGTGTGTTGACTGTGGTATTAAACCTAACGGTCTTTGTCTTCCTTCAGGTGTACAGCTCTCAGTGCTGTAGGACTCTCTGTGCTACTGTCTGTTCTGCTCTGTTACTGTATAGGTAAGAACACACACACACAAACACAGCTGTTTCCAGGATGTGTGTCAGGTGAACTGCTGGGTCATAAATGTGTCCGACAGATTTCATGGTGAATTATTCTGGAATGTTACTCTCCAAACCTGGTCTCAAGGAGACAAATGTGGGATCGGAGGTCAGAGGATGGTCATGTATTTCGCTTGGATCGGTTTGCAAAAAAAGAACTACGTAAACACAGCATCTGTGTGACCACTGGAGCTAAAATCACTGTTTTTTTCAGTGGACTTTGGTCAGTGATTTTCTCTATGGATGTGATAAAACAAGCTGCAGTTTCCTGTCGGTAGTGTTGTTCTAATCTACGTCCAAAAGTTATTCGGCCAGACTTCAGTCTGACCTGTTGGTGCATCATCAGCTGATGTTGTGGTTAAACTTGTCGTTAGATCTTTCTCTTCACCTTCCTCTCTGGAGCCGAGAGGGTCGTTTGTCAGCATCTGCAAAAAGCATTTATGAAAAAAGAAAAAGAAAACAGTTTGAGAACAAGAAGAGAAGGAGAGATGTTTTTAAAGAGTCTTAAGAAGAAGAAGAACGGAAGAGCAGAGCAACGATTTTTTTTTTTCTAAAGGTCGCAGATTTCCTCAGTGAACGCAAGCAATTAGAACTGGAGCTGGGCTTCCACATCTGAGGCCTGAGGCACCGCAGACTGTGTGTGCGTGTGTGTGTACTTATATATATATTTAAAAAAAAATGTGTCTGTGTGCAGGCGTGTGTATTTATACATATTTAAAATTATATCTGTGTATATTCCATACTGATTCATTTTCTCACAGTCAGCAGTTGGGCAGCTTTGAGAACAGTCCTCATCAGTACCGTCTCGCTCTCAGTACCAGAACCAGAACCAGACCCAGACCTGGATCCTCTCACTGGTGTATGTCTGTGAACAGGACCAGTCTGGCTGCTCTGCTCCGAACACAAACTTGACTTTGTGTATGGAGTCTGAGGTCAAAGTTCACTGCTCTGATTGGTGTGCTCTTGCTAATAGTTTTTAGCCTAAATGCTTTAAGGTCATCAAGGTGAGGTTGGTCGATATATATATATATATATATAATTAAAGTTGGTAAAAATGATCCTAAAATTTTTACTCAAATTATTAAATGATAAAAGTCAATAAGAGTCACTTCAAAAAAGCCACCTACGGCTGAATTGCCATCCAGTTTGAAAAATAGATATAATCAGAAAAAGAAAAACATCTAAAGGAAAAAATATTAAATATGTATTGAATTTAAAATGTGAAGTTTAAGCTGCAGCAGCTTCTCTTACAAACTCAGGATCAGATTCACATTTTTTACCTCAGTCATTTATCCAGGCTCCACCGAAAATACACAAAAGGACACACACACACACACTCACACTCCAGGCCATGACATAATAACATACCAGACAGAATTTGATCCCTGTCTGTTCATGTGTGTGTTTTTCTTGGATATATGGAGCTGTCAATCGTGTGTGTGTGTGTGTTTTCTCCTTTGTGTGTAGGTGTGTGGTATATTTCTGTCCGTGTGAGTGTATATGTCTCCATCTGTATGTTTTTTAATGTGTGCATTTTATGGTAAAAAAAAGTTTCCTGTTTTTAGTGTGATAATAGCTGTTTTTAGCTTTGGTTTTTTTATCCAAGTTTTTTTGTCGATCACTTTTCAGCTGAATTAGATCTCCTGATTTTCCCCTTACGACTACATATATATATATATATATATTTCCTTTCAACTCTACTTTTTTCATTTCTTTGTGGATGAACTTTAGGCCGTGGTTTAATATGAAAAAGTAGAGTTTTTAAAAGAAGAAGTATTCCAAAAATGAAAAAGAGCTCTGCAGGAGAGAAGCAGCCGTGCGTGACTGTTACCATGACCATTAATCCACTGAACGCACACACACACGCACACACAGTCACACACTCACACTCCTGTAAACCTTTGCTCCTGTCCTCACCGGGAGGGCTGGTGGGTAATGGGCTGGCACAGCAAGGCTCTAATTTAATGAGCTAACACTCAGTGTGTATGTGTGTGTGTCAGTATAATTGGTCCACTTTTCTCTTGTGCACTGTTCAGTTGTGTGTTGTTTTACTCACATGTTCAATCATTGGTTTAGTTTCTGCTATGTTTAAACCTCAGTCGTTCACCCTTAACTAAAATATGTCAGCAGCAGCAACATTAACATTTAAACACAACCAACTTTTCAAACCGGCATCACTGCTTTGCAGTTCAAGTCCAACGGATGCTTCAGTATCTGAGAGGAGAACATTTCTCAAACCAAACCTCATTCTAATAGTACGTGATTTTAGCTCACGGACCAAAGTCCATAGAGAAAATCTATGATGTTAGCTCACGGACCAAAGTCCAAAGAGAAAATCTATTATTTTAGCTCAGACCAAAGTCCTGAGAAAATCTTGATTTTGCTAACAGCTACTTACTCGGATTTGGTGGCTCTATCCTGCAAATGTTGCCAATATGTTGTTTGTTGTTGTTGGTAAACAATCCCAGCTGTGTGAACTCGAAGGTCTCTGTTTGATGTAATCAACAGCAGACATTCTAATTGGTTAAATGTGTTGTGGCTGGAAGCTAATGTTGACGGCAATGAACTTTGACAGAAACATTAAAAGTCAACTGCTTTAAATAAGTTTACTTACAAAAAAAAATAAAGACCAGACAGCAGTGAAATAAACACAGGGGGCCGAACCCACTATGTTATTGTTTATGTCTCTGGTCGTGTTTTAACCAAATCTTGCCATTGATTATCCTAATTTTGTTCTACTCTCATTTTTGGTTTGACCCACGTATGTTCAAACGTTTTTCATGACTTAATTAATGGCCATGTCTGTCCGGAGTTTGAGTTTGATTTAAAATCTTAACTCTTCTTTTTTCATCTCTGGATGACTTAAGGCTCCTTTTAAACACATTTCTTCACCAGGTTTTTGTTCTTTATCTCCGTCTTTTGTCTTCAGCCATGCACCTGTTTGGACTGAACTGGCAGCTCCAGGAGAGCGATGGATACGGAACCTTTGAGAACGGAGCAGGAGGAAGAGACACCACAGCCAACACCTTCATGGTGTCAACAGACAACGGTGAGGCCGCCTCCTCCCCTGACCTACGAGCTCCTCCCCTGACGTCCACTGAGCTGAAATTGATCTTCACCTTGATACTTATAGTAAATCTTTTGGTCTGTGCAGGTAAACTGTTTCTTCTAGAAAACAACACCATTGACATCGGAGAAGTTGACGTGGGAAGAAGAGCCATACAAGATGTTCCACCAGGTCTCTCTCTCTCTCTCTCCCTTTCGCACTCACTCACTCACTTTAGGTGTAAATTTTGGCTACCTTTCAGTGTGACTGATGTATCTCTCATCTACCTTTGGCTAATTTTAGCTACTTCTCGACCCACTTGTAGCATTTTGACATTTTGGCAACATCTTCCAGAACAACCTAGAGTGATTGAAGTGTTAAATGGGTCGATGTTTTCTTGTGTTGTTGCAGGTGTGTTCTGGAGGTCTCAGCTCTACGTGGACCAACCGCAGTTCCTTAAGTTCAACATCTGCGTGCACAAAGACGCTCTGGTGGGAGTGTATGGACGTAAAGGCCTGCCACCATCACACACACAGGTAAAAAAAAAACACACACTCAATATCTCGGCAGGATTGCTTTTTACCAGGGGTGTCAAACTCATTTTCACTGGGCTCCACATCATCGATACAGTTCCAGTTGAAGGGCCGGTTTTAAATGGAACACTGTATAGATCAGGGGTCCCAAACCCCCGGTTCGCGGACCAATACCAGTCCATAGGTCCTTTGGTGCCAGCCCGCAGTGGGACACAGTGAAAAAAATTAAACAAATTTAATTTACTTCTTTAAAAAAAAATTTCCATTTACTTTCTTTGTTTGACGATAATCTGGCAATATTTTAAAATAAACATCATTCAGACTTTGATACAAACAGAATAGAGTCTGGTATAGATGTAGCTCCTCCATAACAGACTAATACATGTATCTGCAATTATTATTATTATTTATTATTTTCTACAAATATTGTTCATTGCTGTGTAATAAAAAAAAACTTTTAATTTCTTAGGTTGATAAACTCTGCTTCATGGACTTTACTAAATGCTTTTTAAGCTCCCGCGGGCCACACAAAATGGCTTGGCGGGCCACATTTGGCCCCCGGGCCTTGAGTTTGACACGTATGCTTTTCACTGGCTGTCTTACAACAAAGTTTATAGAGAAAAATCTTGTGTCTTTCTTTGTTTCTGTTTCCCAGTACGACTTTGTGGAGCTACTGGATGGAAGCAGACTCACGTCCAAAGAAAAGCGAGCACTCAGGGAAACAGATGAAGCTGCTGAACACGTGGAGCCTCAAACCCGTCACGTGCGCTCCGTGAATGTGCACGAGGCTGGTTTCATCCAGTACCTGGACCTGGGGATCTGGCACCTGGCTTTCTACAACGACGGCCGAAATACAGAGCATGTTTCGTTCAACACCATCGTCATCGGTGAGACTTTTATCTGTGGAATTTT